TTTAACATTTGGTTTTCATCACCTGTGGTGAACACATTTAAAGTTTCAAAACAACATAGCAAAAAGTTTTAAAATATGGGTTTATCTTGGCTGCATACTGTATCATACTCTAATGTCAAACCACAAGTGTGGTGACATGCAGTAACTTCAGCTTCTTGGGAACTGAAGGCAAAGGGGCTCTTAAAAAAAAAAAGGTAAAGGGGCTCTTGAACCTGAGTTTGAGAGCAACTTGAGCAACAAATGAGAACTAGTCAAAAGAAACCAACCAAACAAAAAACACCCTTTTTAGGCTCTAAGAGCCACACTTACTCTGCATTATAATATTAATACTTATAATAGATTTAGGTTGATTTTTTAAGTAATTCATATACTGAAATATATGCATTTTGGAAACTTTTGTCAAAATTTGCTGTAACTTCTATTTCAGACAGTGACTAATGATTATGCAGATAAGGTGATATAAAACTTACTCAGGATTTCTAAAGATTTTTCATTCATTTTATTAATAGCTTGTGCAAATGGAATCACCAGGCTCCTGCCGTTCTTAGAATCATGCATCACAGGACACTCTGGCAGTAGGAGGAAAACTGCTAGAGCTTCTTGGTGTGCAGAATGCCATGGAAGAGCTGCAAGGAGATTATCCTGCAGACATTCAGTTACCTGGGGTTGAAACAGGATAAGGGAAAAAGCACAGGCTGTATTAGCTGCAGAGTACTGTGAGAAGCAAGTTATGAGACCAAGAATTTCATTCCGCTATGTTACAATTGGAATAATCATTTAGTTTTTCTGAAACCTATTTGTGAAACCCATCATCCCTCATATCCAAGATGGCCCTACGGTAGCATTGGGGAGAGCCATCCTCACCACTTTCCATCAGGAGGCACGAATGAAAGTGAAATCACGTGTGCATGAATATACTGAGTGGGGCATTTTCAAAACAATTATAACCCCTCACAAAAGCAACAGTATAACTGGCCATAGTGCTATGTGTCTCTACTCCCAGCTTCTAAGGAAGCAAGGCAGGAAGATTGCTTGAGCTCCTAAAGTCAAGAGCAGTCCAGCAATATAAAACACCACATCTCAAAAGAAAATGGAAAAAGAGGGGCCAGTGAAATAGCTCAGTGGTGTAAAGCACCTGTTTAGGCAAGCTTAGGCAAGCAGTTCGATCCCTGGCACCACATGCATGTCAGCCCCACCCCTACAGCAGGTTGAGTCAGCTTAAAATAAAGGAAAAAGAAAAAAAAATTAATAGACAAAATTGTATATAGCTCATATCAACATTCCTTTTTCTGGCAAGAGAAGCTATTACCCTCTCCCCATACAAAATCCATTTCTGCTCTTATGTTTTTTCTCATTTATCAGTCAAAATTTTTCAGATCAAAATAGCTTTGTAGTGGGCCAGCAAGATAGCTCAGCAGACTACACTCCTGCTTAGGCAAGCACAAAGACCGGGATTCAATCCCCTGCACCACATGCTGCTCCAGTCCTGCCCTCCAGGCACACTGAGCTAGCCACTGAGACCACCAGGCATGGTTGTACACACTTGTAATCCCAGTGCTGAGGAGGCTGAAGAAAGGAGGATCAGTTAAAAAAAAAATTGTATTTTTATAGTTTATTTATAGAAGTAAACTTGCAAAGTAGAATGCATACAAAAACATACTAGTGGGAATAATCTATATCGCAATCTGTATATTTCCATATCCACTGAATGTTCACCATATGTCAGGTTAATATCATTTAACTTTATTCAGTCTTACTTATAATTACATATGGCAGGTTTTCCTTACCCTTTTTATTTGAAAACTTTGTTTTATAGGGGAAGGAGAGGCTGAGTTGTAAAAAGGTAGAACAAAGAAGTCATTCAATTAGTGACACATTGCTGCTGTGACACTGAGACCCGCACTCAGATTGGTCTGACTGAAAATTTCACATGGTAGGGACA